ATGGAAGAAACGATACCCTCTAAAATAAAAATAAATGAGGCTTTTTTAATACAATCTAATAAAAATAAATGTATTGCTCATGCATCTGTAAATGTTAGTAATGTAACGTATGACAATCGCTTCTTTGATTTTAAAGAACATAACATAAATAAACATAAATTACAGAGAAATTAAAAATAATCATACAGAAAATTTGGGTTTTTTTGATTTTACCTTATTAAGTAATTATTATCAGGTAGTAATTGTTAATTTTGTAATTTGTTTTTGTAGACGTATCTGTTTTAAAAAACTAATAGCGCTTGCAGATGGAGCGGACCGTACGCGCGGAGCGTCCGCGCGGCTGTTTTTTCAATATAGCTCATCCGGACGGAGCATACGCGACCCATGTGAAATTGTTCATATAAGCTCATGGTACTTGCTCGAAGTCGCGGACGCTCCGCTCCATCTGAAAGCGCTGTAAAGTGTTGTCGAATAGTTGAATTTAAATATTTTGAATAGTTTTTTTTCTTTATTCTTTGTATTTTTTTGCTTCCGACGACGGAAAGAGATAAACTTTCCGAAACCTTAAGCATTTTTTTGTTCGATAGGCAAATTTGTATATCTGTAAACCTAACTTCTAACAAATTTTCTTGCAGTGGCTAAATACCCATATAGGATTTTTTGGAGAGATTTTATAGCTAATTTATTTGACTTTTTAGCCTATTTCTAAATTAGAAAATAAAGTTCTCTCTGTCTATTGTACCCAAGTATAATATGGGACGGAAAACAAAATGTATTTTGATAAAAGTGGAACCTGTGAAATGGTTTTTAGAAACTTTTAGAGTGTTTAAAAACCACTTTATCATCAAGGTGTATCTTTTTTTGTAATTAGACATTTGATTCTTTTCCCATTTAACTCTTTTTATATTAATCACTTTAATTTAACCAACTAATCAGTTGCGCGGAAGTGTATTATCGCGCAGTTTGTTTGCTATGTTTATTTCTATGCGCGCTTTGGCCATTTAATCAACCATGTCTATACGTTGGTCGAGTTGGCGTGAAAAGTTAACGTAAGCGGTTAAATATTCGACCAGTGAGCATTGGTGACACTGAGTTCGGTGTGTGTCATAAAGGTAATAATTGTCGTCTAAGCATTTTATATTCAAATTTCGCGTGTTAAAAAATTATCGATTATAAATGTGATTATAAAATATAGAAACATATGTATCTGTGACATTTATTTATTTTTATTTAGTGCACCAAATTTACGGCTCGGATGATATTTTCTAAAGTCGTTAATATATTCTATATGTTTTCGAGCATTCCTCATAATATGATGCGATTTTCTCGAAAAACAAAATTTGATAGATAGATAGAAATAATCAAAATGAACTACTTAGGATGATAGATACAGTTTATACATTATATACATTAGATCATTACATATTATCTATTTGCTTTAACAATCTCTGGTTGAAAAATCGACCCCCCCCCTACTCCCTTGTTTGTTAACTTTTTGAAAAATATTATTAAGAAGACGTGCTTCCTTTGTGCTAGTTTATATATTTTGCAGTCAATTTGATCAAACTAGAAAATAATTAGTACTGCCCTATAAAGGGTTAATAACACAATACTGAAAAAGTATGCAGATGTTTTGGTCTTCATCAACACACCTATGAAATAGTTTATTGTTTTTTTATGTCACTGTCATTGAAAAGTCAAATTATTATTGATTGTTGGCAGTTTCTCTTGGAGTGATGTATTTATGTCCGAAAGTTATATCGATTATTGTTGCTTTAATTGAACATGGTAGAGATTCAGATACTAGAATTATAACCATCTCTCCTAGAGTAACTGTCAATAAACAATAATAATATGATTTTTTTATTGACAGTGACATTAGAAATATAAGAAACTATATTTAATAGATGTAAAGACAAGGATCAAAAGCAAAGGAATGCTTTCATGTTAATATTGCTCTAAATGGATACTGTTTTCTTCAAAATCCAATACCTCCAATCAAAATAAAGCTATTGAGACAAACGTTATGCTGTTGAACGAACTCCCTGTTATTTTAACCGGCAGTCTCTCTCTCCACATGACATATGTGACCATATTATCGAAAAAACATAACGGCGTCAAAGACAACTGGGGAGTGAAAAATAGAAGAAATAAGAATCTTTTCTAACTGGGGAGTGATCGATGGTAATTTTGGCGAGGTCTATTTACTAAAAATTGCAAAGAAAATAATAATTTCGTCCTCGTATCCTGGGTGCCCGCTCACCAAGGGATTGAAAGCAATGAAACAGCAAACGATCTAGCTAGAAAAGGAGCAAACACTCACCTATAATTATATGTCTATTAAGAAAATATATAAGTATTAAGCAATCTAAATTCATCTGGTTTATCTATTAAATACCCTTAAATTGATCTGGCTTCTTATTGCCTTTTGCAGTCAAAATATTAGGTACCTTCTGTAAACCTTTCTAGCCTAAAACAACAAAACTTTCGACTCCCGTTAAGTCCTCCAAATTCTCTACTAATACCTGAAACACGCAGAGAGTTTAAACAAAATTTAACATCCACTCTATACGTCCAGCACATCGGGAATTAACGGTAAATTAGGTAGAAATTTAGAGATATCCTGCTGATGGATTTCCTGGCAAATTTCAATTACAAATAATTTAGGCGGGATTTAAGATTTACATTGAGATCTACGATAATACCTTTGTTTTGTGCGTAGTATTAACAAGTAGGGATGGGTAGGTCCGGATGGATATGCATCCACGGACCTCTCTCCGGTACCGGTGCTGATTGGATGCAGATCCTACTTAATATCGACCCGTATCCGCAAAACTGCATTACTGACAGTCAACATTGGAGAGTATTGGAATAAAGAAGGAATTGTAACTGTTGCGGAGTTGTATTTACTGTGTTTTAAGTTTACTTTTGTGGAATCGTAACCATATTCGAAATTATTTTGTATTATTTAAAATTGGTGTTGTGTAGTGTTGTTACTTTATTGGTAAATTCAAGAAATTATAGAATATGTGATCGTACAGGGTTCGTAAAATCAATCAGCAGACGAAGACTACATTCAAATTTAGTTTTAGTTTTAGCCATTTTATTTCTTAAAAATATTATCTGTTAAATGTTGATCATTTTTCTACTAGCATGAGGCAATTCCTCTGCGACAGTCTCGACTATCTTTTATTATTTATAGTATGTAAAGTTCGTAATGATTTGCCTCATAGTCATAGATTTGAACCTTAGGAGACCTCTACTAAATAAATAGAAAAGCTAATATCATGTGATAAGGATTATCATGTTAATGAGTAGATAATATCTAGTCATTAACAAGATATACTATAGATCTACTAGATATTGCGAAATAACTATAATGGCTTTATTAAAGGGTTAAGCATTTTGTTTATCAATAACACTGTTAGCAAAGAAAAATAAATGAAATATTGGACAAAAGGATAATTATTGCTAAAAACGAGTGAATATTGTCAATCAACATTATTGAAGGAACTAGAACCAATAGATCGAATTAGACAAGAAATTCTTAATATTGTGAGTCCTTTAGTAGGAAAAAAAGAAACAATAATCAGATCCGCTGTGATAGCCGAACTACACTTAATTGTGACTATAAGTTATCTAGTAACCGGAAGAAGCTACGGGAACTTAAAATTTAAATCAGTCATATCCCCACAGTTGCAATCCAAAATTATTGCAGAATTGTGTTGACAATATCCGAAACCAAAATTAGATTGTATACAGTGTGTCCCAAAATAGAAACTAGAAGAGATTCGAGGTCGGTTAAATGGAGGCAAAGTTGTGCAATTTGATTCTGATGAAAATTCAACCTTATAGGTTTAAAAATTCCGAAGATATTTGGAAAAAAAATACTTATGATTTTGTCTTTATTTTTTATGACTCTATTTTTTGTTATCGGATTTATATACCGACGTTTCAGCTTTGCGTTGTCATCATGAAATTTCGATTTTTAGATACGGATCAATTTTTTATAATTTTTATGAGCTTCTAAGGTCTCAAAACCAATGATGGCATTTTAGATAAGTCATATATATTAGAGAGAGACAGAGAATAGATTTTTGCTAAGATATTTCCAAGAAAATCATTTCTAGGAATTTTTCGATTAAGTGGGATGCATCATTAATTTTGGGACCTTGAAAGGTTTTGAAATTGTTAATAAAATCACAGGGCTATATCTGAAAAAAGCAAGTTGATGATGGCAGCTCAGATATTTTCGGAAGTACTTGAATTTTTCAGGTGACATTAATATGAGGTGGTTGAAAAAGTCATCTAATCAATGATCTTGCAAAATTGGCCCCTGTAAACTGCCTATTAAGCCAATATTTTAAATGACATAATAATTTTAATATTACAAATGAAGGGTCCAGGGTAAACACTTGATAAGCGCCAATTTCTTAATTTTAGGCTTTTAAAATATTATCAGGTCTAACTGATCCCTACAAATTATATAAACTCTGCAGGGCAGTAAGTTCCTAAATCCTGTGATATATATATGCCTAGTGATTTCTGAATTATTTTCAAATTCAATTTTAAAATTTGCTTATTCTTAAATAAACATATCTCTTTGTATGTAGATATCTGAATATTGATTTCAATAAAATATATATTTCTTCCGTAAACCAAAGTTTAAAAAGTTTAACCCTCCCAAAGTTTTTAACTATCATAGTTTCAAAAGTTAACACAAAAAGATTTAAACATCTTTTTAAAATAACAAGGCCGAAGATGTTACAGCATGTTTGATATGACGCTTTTCACCATAGCAATACAAATTGGATACTTACTTCTTTGTTCTCTTTACGTGCTCGTCCTCACTACAGTCCGTTTCCCCTATCGAGATCAAGGAGAGAAATTCGCTCTGTTACTGGGTCAATGCTACGAATTGAAAAACGGATGTATCGGAGAAATATTTTCTTATTTTATTTTTATTAATTAAATCATTTAATTTGGTACAATGATGAGGATCGTTTCACATGGTGAAACAATTAGGTGTAGAGCATGTTTTTTTTGTGATATTTAAATGATTCGTGCGTGATGATGGACGTGAAATGATAATAAATGAATTTGTGATTTTTGAGATTTTCAAGAAATAATTTTTTGATGGTAATATAATAAATTATTAGTAAATCTAATTGAAGGAAATAAATAAATTACTTATAAATACAAATTAGAAGAGGCGATCACAAGTTATCTAGTGTTGTATGCTTGGTATGCGCGATATGCCATGTCGGCAGCTTCTCTTCTCCTTCTGTAATGTTCGTGACCGCTGCTGGCATGTATTACATGGTGTCCTAAAAATAACGATAGTGTCAATTAGAAAAGTAGAAATTAAAATTTAATTTATGCACCCATGTTAAGAATATACAATAGTTTTATAATGAACTACTTACATATAGTTCTATACAAAACATACTATACAAAATATATACCATACAATATAGTACTATACAAAACTAATTATATTAAAAGATGTTAACTATATAGGGCGATTATATATTCAGGCTTCCAAAAATACTTTATATTAGGTCTTTTGTTTGTGAATTTTGTTTCAATTTTTTACATAAATGGCGGCAATAATAACGAATTTGAAAATATTTTTGTGAACATATATGGTAATTATAAACAATTCAAACCAAATTTGTATATTTTTAAATGAAACACGCTCTATTCTTGTATCATAATCGCTGCTAATAGCTTCTAATTCTCGACTATTTTAAATGAAACACACCGTATTTTGTATCATAATCGAACAAGGTTCTGTTTAATCTTTTTCTTATATTAAGCACATCCTATACCTAAAATCGATATATAATGAAAAAATTGTGTTTTTAATTATATATACAGGGTGGTCCGAACTGTATTCCGGAAACTTCGGCAGCACATGCTGCAGATTAAAGTAAGTAAAAAAGTTCGTATAAATGTATGTCCTAAAATGCTTAGTTTCGGAGATATATGGTGTAGAAGTTTCATTTTTATTTCGATTTTTTCCAAATAATTTCTAAAGTAACGTTAATATTTTGATGAAAATTAGTATTTGGGAGTTTTTTGACATGAGAAATTTTATTTTGATGTCCATATGACTCCTACTTGTAGAGGGCGCCACCTACATAAAAAATGTCTCTTGGTAACAATCGCTACGAGCAACCGTTCTCAAAATATTTAGAATGAGAATAGTCAATACATGTCATTATTGACAAAATATAAACACGTTGAGTAGATAGTTACTTGACTGAAATAATAAATTTGGGAAACTTTTATTTTTTTAAATTAATCATAAATTTGTCTGTGAAAAAAACGATGATAAAACAGTTTCTGTTGAACTTTTGGCACAAAAACATTACAAATTTATCACTTGAGTCTACTAACTATTTAGTCAACATAATTTAATTTATGTCAATTATGATAGGTATTATAACAAATATATCGAGAACCTTCACTCGTAGCGGTTTTTACCAAGAGACATTTTTTACGTAAAAAACTTCGTAAATGTATATTTTTTACTCAGTAGTTTTATACAGGTACGGACAAAAAGTTATTACTCTTCAAATCAGTAAAAAAATATGTAGCTGGCGCCCTCTACAAGTGGGAGTCATATTCACATCAAAATCAAATTTATCATATCAAAAAACTCCTATGTACCAATTTTCATCCAAATATTGAGGTTACTTCATAAATTATTTGGAAAAAAATCGAAATCAAAATGAAATTTCTACACCCTATATTTCCGAAACTAAGCATTTTAGGACATACATTTATATGAACTTTTTTACTAATTTTTATCTGGAGAATATGCCGCCGAAGTTTCCGGAATACATTTCGAACCACCCTGTACATCAGACAAGATTGCACATTATGGTACAGTCCTTCCTGTTAAAAAAAACTACTCGATACGACATTATGGTATTTTTGGAAAGGAAATTTAATGGTAAATCCACTCAATTAAAAAATAGTATTCTATTTAAAAATATACAATTTTGGTTTGAAAATATGTTTGAATCACCCTGTATGCTGACAAAAATATTTTCAAAATGTGGGTTACCATTGCCCTCATATTACGTAAAAGAATTGAAATTAAATTCACAAAACAAAAACCTGATATAAATCTTTTTTACAAGTCTGAATCACCTTTTATATGGCACAACTCAAAATTAAATGTAGTTTGCATTATTATTTAAATAAGGCTTTCCACAAAAATATACTGTCAAATTTCAGAGGATAATTTTTATCAAAAAAAGCTTCTCTAAAAATGGATCCGGAAATGCAAAGTTTTTAAGATGCAGGATGTTAAAATTCTAAAAAATATATTTTTTTGTAATTATCTTAAATACCCTGTAACTCATTTTTCTGAAATTTGTTAGTGGCATTACTAACAAAAGAGCTTCAAAGGCTAAAATTATTAAGTCCATTGGCATCCCATGTGGCACAGCATCGAAAATAATAATTGTGAAAAATGTATGCCACTGACCTGTATTGAAATTTGGTATATTTTTTAGATTAAGTAACTAAAAATACATCGTTTGTTTCTTGTAGCATATGCCTATCTAGTGCTGTTTTTGATAAAAATAAATAAAATCAAGTTATTGTAAGTCTGTGTACTCCAATAAAAAAATTAATAAATCATTTCAATTTGTAACTAAAATAACCGCCGGCCCACCGGCCCATCGATCACTAAAGACGAGATCGAAAAAGCCATACTTAATTCTAAAAATAACGAAGCTGCTGGCCCAGATGAAATTCCTGCAGAAATCCTTAAACTCCTAGATGAAAGAGGCATAACAGCACTATATAAAGTATTTAACACTATATATGAGACAGGTCACTACCCCAAACAGTGGTTGCGTTCTACCGACCTGCCTAAGAAGACCAATGCCAGAAAATGTGAAGACCATAGGCTTATCAGCCTGATGAGCCATACCTTAAAAATATTTCTGAAAATCATACACCAGAGAATTTACAAAAAATGTGAAAGGGACATAAGCGATTCACAGGGGATAACTTGGGTCTGTATAGACAACAACTGAAACAGGAGTAAGAGATGCGGTGATATTTGTCTTACATTTTAAATGGAATTGGGCAGGACATATGGCTCGGATAAAGGATGGACGGTGGACAAAGAAACTTGTGGGGTTTAGGCAAGGGTTAGATACAAGGGAAGCGATAGTTGCAACACAGGTGCTTGTCCAGAACTGCTACGATCAGAAAAAGGATGTGTACCTGTGTTTCATAGACTACGAAAAGGCATTCGATCTCGTGAAACACCACAAATTAATGCAGCTGCTCAAAAGGCTTGATATAGACCAAAAAGACATACAACGCATCGAAAACTTGTACGGGAACCAAACAGCACAAATAAAATTGGCCAATACCATGTCCAATCCCATACAAGTTAGAAGGGGGGTGCGACAGGGTTGCGTGCTGTCTCCACTCTTATTCAATTTGTACTCAGAGGCTATTTTCCAAGAGGCTCTAGAGGACGTGGAAATGGGAGTCAAAGTTAACGGAGTGTGGATCAATAACATCCGCTACGCCGACGATACGGTCTTGATTGCAGATAATATACACGATCTACAACAACTGGTCAACAAGGTAGGAGAAAAGAGTAAAGCAATGGGTTTAAACATAAACATGAAGGAAACTAAATTTATGATAATATCCAGAAATCCAGATGTGTTTAAATACTCCATTATAACATTTAATACAAGGCCCATAGAGAGAGTAGATAAATTTAAGTACTTGGGCATCTGGCTCTTCGAAGATTGGACATCAGACAAGGAAATTAAATGTCGCATCGAACAAGCTCGGCAGGCATTCTTGACGTTCCGAAAAGTACTTGTCTGTTCTGATTTTGCCCTGAACTTCAGATTAAGATTCGTAAAGAGTTACTTGTGGTCGGTGCTCCTTTATGGTACAGAAGGTTGGACATAGAGAGCAGCTGCCATTAATAAACTAGAGGCTTTCGAGATGTGGCTATATCGCAGAATTCTAAAGATACCTTGGACGGCCTAGGTTAACAAATGAGGAAGTTCTGAGACGTGTCCACAGCGCGAATTGTTTGAATTGATTAAGAAGAAAAAAAACTTCATACCTGGGGCACATAATGCGAAACCCCAAATATCAATTCTCGCATCTGTTAATCGAAGGTAAGATCGAAGGCGGGAGGGGTATCGGAAGGAAGAAAATGTCTTGGCTGAGGAGTTTTAGACAGTGGATAGGCCTACACGATGTACAGTCGTTAATAAACACCGCCAGGAATAGAGAAGCGATGGAAAATGTTATCGCAAACATCCATTAATGGATTTGCACTAGAAGAAGAAGCTGAAGAAGAAGAACTAAAATAAACTACGAAAATGCTTTATAACAAATTTAAACAACAATTTACAATTTATAACATTGGAGTTCAATATTACCTAAAGCAAATGCAAAAAATAATGGTATTCCAGTTAATTACACAAACATAATTTTTAAATTGTCATTCTGTATCTTTAAACTTCCCATGGACACATGTTTATAGGAACTTGTTTCCATATATTTAGATGAGAAATCATTCCCTGAAATTTGCTAGTATATTTTTCAAAACTCTGTAGATCGCCATATTATGAACTAATTACATGTTTTTATAAAATATTTCGTTGTATTAAACACATTCTGTACTCTAAGACGATATACACTTATTAGTTTTCAATTTTTTTTAATAAATCTGATTTTCTCACATAATTGATATTTTGTCTCTTTTGTCATAAAAGTGACTATCTGTTTAAAAAAACTATTAGTTAAATACGTAAAAATGTGAAATGTGAATAATTCTCTTCTACTGGATTATTCCATTTATGTTTTAAAATTATTATTTAAAATATGGAACTTCTGAAATTAAAATTGAATATAAAAATACATCTATAGTTCACTCACTTAGTAAATACTATTAGAATTATGTCGCAGAGTTAGCCTATGAAGAGCACCATCTTCCATGTTCAAAGCCAGAAAAATTTGATTTTATAAATGCGAGGAAACATTCTAAATTATTATACAAAACTTAGTCTAATAATAATATGTTCATATTAATAAAAGTCGGTATGACTTTTCAGAGTCAGTCAGATTTTTATAGGAAATGTATAGCATATTCTTTAGAAAAAAATATAGTTTAATCAATCAAATCATGATTTATACAGGGTGGCCCAGAAATGAATGCAAGTATTTTAACTGGTAGTATATAGTTCAACCCCAAAAACACGCCTCATAGTGTTTTTCACGAAAAAAAAATTATGAAAATTCGGAATTTTTGGAAGAAAAAAATATTTTTTTTAGCTTTTAGTTAAAAACCATAATTTATTGATAATGTGGCAACATAGGTAGTAAATTAAATTTACAAGAAACAAATTAAAAAATACTTGCACTTATTTCTGGGACACCCTGTATTATACTGTAAATTGAAAAAAAATATTCATTCGTATTCTTAAAATATTGGAGTAAAAATCATAAATAAAAACCCCGACATAGTGATTTTCTGGAATTAACTGGAATTTTTTATGAAAAAAATTGAAATTTGCTTTTTATTACCCTGTATTTTTTAATTATTTTGAAATATAAAAAGTATTACCGCCGTCGTCGTCATGGTGTGTCAACTTCTTCAAACCGACAATGACTGATAACATAAGGGCAAGGGCTGAAACCATGAGAGCTTTCATGGCTAGCATACCGACACCACCCAGACCAAGGGCGGCCATCATCTTGCCCATCATCAGGCCCATCACTGCTATTCCGGCACCTCCACCCCCTCCTCCTTTTTTACCTCTTCCGGTACCTGTAAATAAAATTGTTTTATTTTATATTTTTTACATGCATATCAGAAATATACTATTGTTAGTAGTATCTGTAGAGGTTATATAGTAATGTATGGCAATCGTTTCTTTGATTTTATAGAACATAACATAAATAAACATAACATCAGTAAAAATTAAAAACAATTTAAAAAATAATCATACAGAAAGTTTGAGGCTTTTTGGTTTTACCTTATTACATAAGTAATTGTTATTAGGTAGTAATTGTTAATTTTGAAGTTAACTTGATATAATGTCATTTTAACAGAACATCAACGGTTTCTATAGACGTATTTATTTGAAAAAAACTAAAGTGTTCTCAAATATGATATTTGCATTCTGATATTTTAAATAGTTTTTTGCTTCCGACGACGCGACGGGAAGAGATATATACGTTCCGAAACGTAATGTATTTTTTTGCCCGTTAGGCAAATTTGTTTATTAGTAAACCACTGCTGACAATTAGTGTCCGTTGGATTGACGCAGCAGTAGTTTTCAAAAATAGCTATTCTATTTTGTAGATTTTCTTACAATGGTGAAATACCCATAGAACTATTTTTGAAGATAATGTATCATACGAAAATAATATGAATTAAAAAAGTAAAGGTTAAGTTAATGTGTGCTTTTTGCTGCTAAAGCAAATATCTGGACACTATAACCTGGACAAGGTATAGTCTGTTTACGCGAAATCCGAACCGCGGTCCTCGGCCATATCACTATCAATGGCTTAACGACTTGGCAAGTGTCCAAATTGATCTCATTCGGTCTCAAACTGACGTGAATAAGCACTGTATGTCAATAGAGTTTACACTCTTGCCATGGCACAATAGAACGACAGAATTTCCATACGCTGACCTGTCCATGTCCCATCCACTCTCATAGTCTAACGTCGCTTAACTTCGGTGATCTATCGGGTCCCGGTGTTTCAACAATTACAAAGCAACATTTAATTTTAGAAACAAACCATGACAAATGAACATCTTTCAAAGTACTTATCGAGAAATGCATTGAGTATAATAGGTCACTAATGCTTGTCTTCGTGGATTTTGAGAAGACCTTCAATTCGTTAGACCACTGGAAGCTTCTGGAGACATTAAGTGAGAGTCGTATCCTTCATCGATCGCAATCATAAGACATATATGTGATAATGCCACAGCAATCGTAAGATTATCGACAAACAATGAACAGACAAATTCAATATCGAACAAAGGGTTAAGACAAGGCGACACCACTCTCGCCTAAATTCGTTGCAGTGCTAGAAAGTATGTTAAAAATGATAAACTGGGATTCAACAGGAATTAACATCGATGGCAAATTGATAAATCATCTTTGTTTTGCAGATGAAATTGTTTTATTAACAGACAACATACGGGAAGCACAGAATATTCTGGATATGCTCAATGATGATTCAGAAAAAGTCGGTTTGAAAATTAACTTGTCAAAGACACAATACATGACAAACCTAGTACTGAGTTAAACATTACTAGTACAAATTTAAACATTAATAACACACTTTTGGAATAAGTGCGTATATATTAGGACATGATATCCGTATTAGAAGGAATAATTATACACTAAATCTTACGAATAATAGGTTTGTCGTGGGCGGCATTCGGTAAACTAAAGTAAATACTGAGCTCTAATCTTCCAATATGTTTAAAAAGAAAGGTCTTTAACTAGTGGGTCTTGCCTGGCCTTACGTATGGAGCTGAAACACTTACTTTAAGAAAAAAGAACATAATGGAATACAGAGGTCATGCAACGGAAAATGGAAAGGTTCGTGTTGGGAGTTACACTTAAGATAAAATATCACAAAAGGCCCAGGTAATAGATTTCATCAAAAGAATCATATCCCTCAAATAGAAATGGACAGGACATCTGGTAAGAAGGATGGATAACAGATCGGACCACAAAAATTAGAGCATGGTATCCACGACAAATTAATAGACCTAGAAGAAGACCAAACTTGAAATGGGACAATGATATTAGGAAATTAGCAGGGATAACTTGGGTCTGTATAGACAACAACTGAAACAGGAGTAAGAGATGCGGTGATATTTGTCTTACATCTTAAATGGAATTGGGCAGGACATATGGCTAGGATAAAGGATGGACGGTGGACAAAGAAACTTGTGGAATGGAGACCAAGACACGAGGCATAGAAGCAGAAAACGACCTCCTAGTCGATGGACAGATGATATTAAGAGAGTGGCTGGAAACCGTATTCAAGTGGAAAAAAAGAAAGAAATCGCTACAATTAAGGGACATTTGTTCAGCAGTGGACGGAATAAGCTAAATGAAAATGATGATGATGATTTAATTTTAATCAATTTACTCTTGGTTTTAACTATCTACTGACGAATATGGTTGGGGAAATCGGCGTCTAGATTTCAAAATTAACTATTTTAATACGGCATATATGATGAAAAATATAACGACGTCAGAATTGGCATGAAAATAGAAAGATCTTTGTCATTTTATAAATACAGTTAAAATTGGAAATGTTGCATCGATCGTCATTTTCAAGCCAGTTGGTTACTGTTTTTATTCGATCATGCCGTACTGTGCGTCTATATTTCTCTCCTAGTACCAATGATACTCTACTAAATTGTATTAATAAAGAACGTACTTAATGTTAAGCCACGTTTTTGTACTTAATACAATGCGGTTATTTAATAAAGCCGCCTTATGCATAACGCTTCTGTGCACAAAGCTCCGCTGCAAATTCAATTTCCTTCCTAATTATATTCTCGCCGCAATTAGAACATTACGGCACTTATTAAATCACGGTTTAGTATGGAAGATTATCGAATAGTTTGGTTTAAACTGTCCCGCTGTCGCGCGTCGATGATATTAATTAGTTTCTAATTTTGCCACTATGGCGACTGAAATTTATTTTTGAGATCGGGCTGACTCGATAATGTGATCCTATTAATTCTGTATTTGAAATGAGACATTGACGAATTCGATTGCAGAATAAAATTGAAATTATTACTGGTTTAAAGAAGAAAGAAGATTTTCATGTACGTGAATTAGTAAATATTAAATAGACATTTTAAAAAACTAAATTTCTAAAAGACTAATGCAGATTCTGTGGGGAAAATAAGGAAACACCAAAACACCTCATTACTGATTGTGGCGAGACGACAACCATACACACGATGAAGTTTGGTATGGAGAACAAACCCCTATAAAACCAATTCAGATACTACCTTTTGTCAAAGTCCTGAGACTGATGAGTTATAACTCGATATAACTCAAGAAAGGAAGACACACTAGATCTGTAAGAAAAGGTGATTAATCCTCCCATAAATTCTATATTTTACATCTAACATAACCTGGACCAAATTTAATAAAATGAGGAAAGATTTAGCCGATCCTCTTAGTAACAAACTAAAAACTAAAGAGTCTTAATTTCCCCATTGTCGCTTATGGCAGAGGAATTTTTTCGAAACATTTTGGAAAATCGATTTTGCTTATTTGGTATTATGTTGTAGTGGTGTACAGGGTGGTCCAAACTGTATTCCGGAAACTTCGGCAACATATTCTGTAGATAAAAATAAGTAAAAATATTCGTATAAATGTACTTCCTAAAATGCTTAGTTTCGGATATACAGGGTGTAGAAGTTGCATTTTTATTTCGATTTTTTCCAAATAATTTCTGATGTAACGTCAATATTTGGATGAAAATTGGTGTCTGGGAGTTTTTTGACATGAGGAATTTGATTTTGATATCAATATGACTCCTATTTGTTGGGGCCGCCACCTACATGTGTTTTAATTGTTTTGAAGACTTTTCCTTCGTACCTGTATAAAACTACTGAGTGAAAAAATATACATTTACGGCGTTTTCTGCGTTTTTTTTTTGTTAGAGAAGAGGGGAAGCGATTTACCGCCGAAGTGTGGGATTCGATGCGAAAATGCGGTACTAAAGGATAATACCCACTAAACCCCTCTCCTACGCTAGGTGTTGATGCCGATCGCCGTTAGGCATACGGAAGCATCTACTCCTCCTTTTACTCGTCCCTCCGTCGACACTGAATCATTTTAGTTCTTAATCTTAATCTTGATTATCACAAAATTGATTATCACTAACAGGAGCCCGTGCAGGACAATTTACACAGATCTAACACGTCTTGCGGCCACTACATCGTCCACTTCAATAAGAATGTCGAGACACAGCTGGTCAACAGCCTTCCAGCAATGCTCGTCACGCAGCATAACCGTGATGAGGCTTTCCTCAATCAGAGGTCCTGTGATGGCTTCCGTCTCAGTTCTCAGTGCCGCATATCGGTCTCAGTGCCGCATTCCAGTAGTACACGTGCCCGGCATCCTCTCTACGTAAAAAAGGTCTCTTGGTAAAAATCGCTACGAGTAAAGCTTGATTTTCATGCATCCGTTGTCCGACGATACGATAATACGATATTCATTTTATTGGTTGAGTTTAAAGGCTTCAATTGTTTAATCATTTCTAACCAATCGAAGTCTTTAAATTCAACCAATAAAATTAACATCGTATCATCGTATCGTCGGATAACGGATGCATGAAAATCAAGCTTAATGGTGCTCAAGATATTTAGAATAAAAATTATCAATACCTGTCATCATTGACATAAATTTAACATATTGACTAAATAGCTATTAGACTAAAATCATAAATTTTAAGTATTTTTGTGCCAAAAGTTCAACAGAAACTGTTTTATCATAATTTTTTCGCAGAATAATTTATGGATAATTTAAAAAAATAAAAAAATTTCAAATGTATTATGTCAGTCAAATATCTATCTACTCAACGTGTTTATTTTTTGTAAATAATGACATCTATTGCCTATTTCCATTCTAAATATCTTGAGAACGGTTACTAGTAGAGATTTTTACCAAGAGACATTTTTTCCGTAAAAGGTCACGGAGATGTATGTTTTTTACTCAGTGCTTTTATACAGGTAAGAAAATTTATTACTCTTCAAAACAGTTAACACACATG